AGCGCAATAGTGAGCCCCAAACCTGTTCAGTTTTTCGCAAACCAATCCAATCGGCAAAATTAATTGTATTGTTTTGCTGAGAAAGAGAATTATGGACTAGTTAAATTGAAATTGGAAAGTATTGACACCCAAATCTTACACATAAATAATCGTATTTCGAATGGTTCAAATATTTTATCTGATAGATCATCTTCATCAGAATCAAAACCGAGACCCAAAATGTCACAATGCGAAATATCGCTCTTCGAAAGAACGGACTTACGCCCACGCTCATAAGTGATAGCACAACTAAAAATAGGTTAAAGCAGCAAATCTCTGAAATGGCACAAGTAAAAGTTGTCAATATAACTGCTTTAATCATGTGGAGCTCAAGGAAACGCCATGCAACTGATTTGCAGGGACGGAACCACCGACGAATCTTGAGACGTATTCGTCCATACATAAGCCTCGGTTTTGATAACCAGGATTTCCTGCCTGACAGTTTGCTAGACTGTTGATGGCTGCGGTACATGCTAAACCGCGCTCGAGAGCTTCGAGTTGTGTCATCGATTGGCTTTGGTTGACGTAATGATTCTATAAATCGACCGTGAAAATAATGCAGTTGAATGACTGTAAAAATAACAGTCAATGTCGGGACCAGCAAATGTAAGAAAAGGTCCTTCGTTCGATAACGACGCAAGCCTATATCATTTTGCCTAAGTACAGCATATATTGCATGAGACATTGGTGTAACAGCGGTAAATTTTCTAGAACTTACAAGTCAGGCTGAACATTCAGATATGTCTCCCAATAGTGGTCAAAATAGTCGAACTGATAGGTGTATATAATAGTTAGTATAGTCATCGCATAGAATATCACAAACATCCAATATCCGTATAAGAACTTTATCCACAGCTGCAAGGACATCTGAAAGACCATAAGAAACAGGAGGAATAATGACATGTAGCAGACGCGGAATCCAGTCATGACTTGATCGATCATGGCACAAAGAAATATTAAAATAATCAGCAGCCACATCCAGATGCGTGTCACAAAATTGGAAACACTTTCGAAAATAAATATGATTGTTCGCGGGGCCCTTGACTTTTCGAACAACGTGTGATCGGAGTGCGAGTGTCGCGGTCCAAAAACATATTGTAAAATGTCATTTTCGACTTTATCCTCAGCCTTCTCTTTGAAGTATTGGTGCGATGTTATCCAGAATATAAATAGAAAACATGTCTTCACGCTCAACGGAACACACGGTCGAACACCGCTGTCCCGCGGATGAACACATCCAATTTGCACAAGATTCAATCCATAGATCTAGGGAGAGTATGTTCGAAAACTAAATCAATTTAAAATACATAATTTTGAATACAAATCCATTTTTAAGCCAAAATCTAAAAGTAAATATAAACTAATAGATTCCGTATAGAAGAAGTACGAAGTCAGGACAAGGACATCATATAAAAACATTACCTTCGTGGGTAGCTCTGTTTCATATATATTCATCCCATATATATATTGTGAAATAATGAGAAATTCAGCATACAGGACTACAAAGAAACTGGAACGCATCATGGATCGACGCTGGTTGGGTATCATCCACAATATATTGGCCCAAATGAGTAAGACGAAAGTCAACCAGCTATGATAAATAATTGACCAGATCTGAAAAAAGTCAAATACTTACTGAGTAGCTCTAAGTAAAATTAAATACTATCGTTATACTTGCCATCATAATTATGTTGAGTAGTATATAGCTATTCTTGTATATGAAAGTCGTCAAATCACAAATCAAATAAAAGAACTGTTCTAGAGTGGACGGCTTTGGACTAGGTGTTCCAGCCTCACTTGAGCCGGATTGTCGGTTTATTGAAGGTGTGTGATTTTCATGTTTTGATGTAATTTTCATTCGCATTATGCTAAAAAATAGTTTGCTTCGTTCATGGTGTATAATGTTGATTAAGAGAATAAAGTATGCCCACATTAATGCAGTTATACACATATATGAATCGAAATGCAGCTTATTATTTAGTTTTATTACTAGGCCTCTCTCATCTTGATGAGACAGCATAAGTAGGGCCTCGTAGCCCATAATTCTGAAATTAATACCAGTTAGATACCTCTTTATGCCCAATGATTCAACTCACCGCGTCCATACTGATTCGGCATCCCAGTATTTCTGTATGATTGGCAGTTGATACAACACAAAACCAATGATTTGCAAAAATAACAATATGGCAACGACGATCAGTATATTCTGCAAACTGTTGTGAAGCACGGATCTTTAGCAAAACATGTATAAAAGCAAGATAACTCTAATCTAGACTATTTTACTACGAGAAACCCAGAACCCTTGGTAGAGCAGAAACCAAAATATTTCTATCAGTAAATATGTACGAAACATAATTTTTGTATAACAGATTTTTGATATTGCATTTAATCAATCAATTAAAATGATTAATTAAACAAACTCAATCTATAACGCACATATGTATTTAAGCTATACTTTATGAGATAAAATGTTGATTAATTCTTTGGCTAGTAATACATACTCCCACCCATTTGAGTAGCTTTAGGGTGTACAAAAATACTTTCTGAATAACATTGCATCTAATCACATTTCAAAACTTGATTTCATAGACATAAGAAAGGTTATTTCTTACTATCTTGGTAAACTCGTCTTTGCACATTGACTTTTTTTTTACCCTGAACCCATTGAAAATGGGAAATCAGGGTATAATGTTGTTGCGAAAAAGTATGTAACAGGCAGAAGGAATCATCGCAGACCCCATAAAGTATATATATTCTTGATCAGCTTGACGAGCTGAGTCGATATAGCCCTGTCCGTGTGTCCGTCCGCCGAGATCTCAGTAGATATATGTAAGAGCTAGAGATCTGAAATTGTGTGCATACTCGCGTATACCATACGCAGTGCGAGTTTGCATTATTTTTTCGATAACTCATCCGATAACTTTTTTTATCGAGAATAATCGCAAATTTTTTTTGGTTTTTTTAGCCTCATTGGAATACCATTAGACGTGGAGACTTCAGATTTGCTGTGTATATACCTATGATGAATACAAACATTTTTTAATCAACAGATTATGGATACCACGCCCCCTTCTCCCCAAATTTGTATTTTAAGTACTAGAGACTTGTGCTTTGGAATGTGTGTCTACAAAAGAAGTTACTCAACAAATAAATTCTTATAATATTGCCCACACTGCAGTGCAGTTCAAGGCCATTCGCTGCTTACTGCGCAGTTAGCAGAGTGCGTGCGCGTGAGGATGGATGCATATGAATGTATGCGTGCATAAAAGAAGTGCACAAAGATAAGAATATCAGCTTGGAGGGTTCAGGGTATCTCCTAGTCGAGCAGTCTCGACTAGAGCCTTCTTACTTGTTTGAATATCGTTAGCGTTAGTAATCAGAGAATTTCTTTTAAACGGATGAAAATAGCAAAATAGTAATTAACGTAGATATCATTTGACTTTTGTATGTATAAATACCAATATAATCTTTTGTAGATAGCCCAATATGTGCCAGCTATAAGAAATAACATGAAATATATGCTGCCAGGCAATGATGGCCTTAAGATTGCAGCTCCATAGAGTACAAGGAGTGTGAAAACTGGAGCTGTAAGAAGGTAGAAAGTTCGTTTTAAGTGAACTACATACCTATGTAGATATACAGTAATATTCTTACATGTTTTTACCACAGATCGAATGTAGGCAACTATTAGAATACGATTCATATCTGAATAACGCAAGCTTGATACACCTCTATATTCGTCATCAACATCATCATCTTCAGATGGACCTGACCCATTCTTTTTAGACAATTTGGCTACAACCAGTATTATCATAGCTGTAATAAAAATGAGTACGTCAGGAACAATCCAATAGAATACTGCAATAGCCCTGTAAGTTAAGAAGTTTGTTAATGTTTTTTCGTGTTTTCCATCAAATATTACTTACTGTAGTCCAGAAAATCGCACGAAACCAATTTGCAATAGGATGTATGTGAGTGGACTTCCTGGCGTCAAATAGTGGATGAATACATTGAAAAAATTTACTAATACATGGCTAATGGCAATTATAGCACTAGTTATACAATAAAACAAGATAAACTTCTTCAATATTTTGTGCTGAGACGAACTTCTAGTTTGCAATAGCCACGGCGATGTGAAGAACATAAGCAGATATATGAATGAAAACGATATTGGCCGTGATAACGTTGCTGTGTGCATCCAGGTTATGATCTTTGACAATATCCACAATATTCACATATGTACATACATACATATATTACTTACCGAATATTAATGTCGATGGAAGAAACAAACGCAGCAAAAAGAACAGTACTACTTCCGGCATTTTTATAAGTTTGCAAGCACAATAATTATTTACAAGTTTATATGATATACGTATAAATATTTAAAATGATTATAATCCAATGACATGGGTGTAGAAGAATACTATGATAGTTTCGTATCGTATTATAGTAGTAAACAGAAAATAAATCAACAAAATTTTCAGTCATTGCCTGATGATTTGCTTGTTTCTTCGATCATCAGTTTACATTTGTATTTTAGGTTGTAATCCAAACAATTTTATATGACTCCAACACAACAGTGTTTGGTCAGTGCTCCAAGTCTTTTTTATTTTAAACTTGTTCTAACGCGCCTTCTATGGATATGTGCTTTTATATATCGACTACTAATCTATATCGATAGTTGAACGGAGCTAATACAGTTTCTTGATGTAAATAGTCAAGATATCTCACATATTTTAAAAGATAAAAAATGAAAGCCAATATAATGAAATGCTAAGTACACCAAAAAATATATCGCATTGTTTTATTAAGCAACTTTTTCTTAGGCCCACAAAATAAAATCGAATTTTCTGAACAAATATGAATGTACACACGGTCTCTAAACGCTACTAGTGAAAACCTTGTAGTAATATCGATATTTTCCAAAAATATTCGCCGGTATCATCACTAAAACATTATTATTTTCGTATGTTTGGATTTTTACTAAATGTGAAACATTTTCAAAATGAGTCTACCGCCTATGTTGTTACAACGGCTTAAGTCACGAGGATTGGTTAATGCAAAGAACGGTAAGTTAATAATGGAGATTGATATACCTACATGATTAATGCGATGTATACATGCATTAAAAAAAGTTAATTTTAAAATCAATAAGGCAGTATTGCATATTATGGATAGGCAATCTTTTGCATTTGAGAGCAGACTTAAAATTGTTTTACATTATAATGGCCCAATGTTAAATATTATGTTTACTGTTCAGTATTCCACAGGTATTGAAAATGGTTTGCTTCAATGGATGAAATTGGCTACCAAATGTGTGGCCGCTGTCTTGGTAACAAAAATGATCCAGGTCGACCAAGCCATGTCCTTCTGTCCATTTGGGTTCAGCAGCGTTACAGACTGCCAAATGCTAAGAGAAAACAATTATCATAATATAAAAGGGCGAACCGATTATTTTATTCGTTAATTGATTCCATTTCTGTTTTTTTCACAATCTTTCTTCATGGGGAAAATATAAATGTACTTTGAGTAGTTCTACTGACATCTAAACCTGTTGTATAAGATATATATTATAATGACTTACATATTTATTTTCAGAACAAAAACAAATACCCGAGGCAATAGAAGAAATTATCGCTGAAAATTATGACGAGGATGACAAAAACCCTCCATCGGACTATAACGAACTCAAGTCACCTCCTTCTAAATTCACGTCAGCTAATGAAAATCTGTGGCCAGAAAGGATAAAAGAACGCATAGGAGTCACAGAGTCATACCATGGCTTTAAATATTGCCCCAACACGTACAACATATGGCACTCGTGCACCTTATACTGTGTTAACAAATGGGCGAACGTGAGGCCGAAGCCAAAGGAAAAGTATCTTCGTCGCTATAAGAGATTACTTCGAAAATATCCACTTCCTGCAGATTGGACAGAGATCTTTGACAGTGGCTGCGGGTTTTATTATTTTTACAACTCCACGACTCGAAAAGTATCTTGGTTACCGCCAACGCATCCGAATGCTCGTGTTACGAACAGTGCAGCCATGTTTAGAAAACAATTAGCTAATTCCAATGATGAATTTAATTTCGACACAAAAGATTTGGGACCAACTAATAACGACGCTGAAATCGGTGCACAATCTGCATCTTTTTGCCCAACAAAAAAGCAAAAAAAACGCGATTTAGAACGAACCCTCTTACGAAAGCATAGGACCTGAAATACTTGCCTATGCCTAATTAACATAGAATTGAACGACTTTTTCTAAGATAAATTTAAAAAATAAATGCAAATTAAGCTTATTGTTAGTGTTGTTAATCTTATAGAAAATATTACCATTATCAATTTTGAATTTAAGATATAGGTTAACTAGTTTTCGAATAATACTTCAGATTAGACACGTGATATTTTCAGGTTTTTTATACTCATTCACGAAAGTGAAATGTGTATATTGGTTTTGTGCAATGTGCGTCTTGAGACCTGAAATTTGGAACATGTATCACCAATTTATAAAGGCTTAACATTTTCCCGATACGCTCACTAGGAGCTTGACAAATCTGAAAATTCTATATGCCAGAAAATATTAGCTGAAGAGCTAGAACTTGGAATGTAGATCCACGTCGCCCACCCAAGATTAAAATCTATGGCGGATACATTCTAATTCTAGAAAAGCTATATTAATGGAAAAAAAAAAACAAGTAAGAAGGCTCTAGTCGAGTTCGCTCGACTAGGAGATACCCTTTCAGACCGTAATCATAATGTTTAAATGTCTCACGTCTTAGTACTTAAATTATAGTTATCGGATAAGTTATCGAAAAAATAAGACGAACTTGTACTGTTTATGATATACACGAGTATGCATGCCAAATTTCAGCTTTCTAGCTTTTGTATCTTCTGAGATCGACGCATACATACGGACGAACTGACAGAGCTATAATATATAATATAATACATATACTCTTTGGGGTCTGCCACGCCCCCTTCTGCCTGTTACATTTCAACAAAACCATTATACGCTGATTTCACATTTTCAATGGGTTCAGGGTATAATGATGTGTCTACGCCCATTAGGGGCGTGACAGATTGGACCTTAAGATATAGTGATTTTTCAAATTCTGATATATTTTGGGCAGTATTAAAATATGATATAAAAACTCGGGCTGACCACCCAAGTCCAAAAACCAATGCGGATATATGTCCGCCCACAGGGGTCGTGGAAAATTGCAAAACTTTATATCTCCTGCATCTTAACAACGAAAAGCTTAAAATTTAGATAGTTGAGATACTAGTAGCGTCCTCTATGGATGACCTAAAAATAATTGTTACGCTTATTTAGTATATAGAAAAATACCCGTAATTTTCACATTTTTAAAGCGTAACCATCCAAACTTTACAGTTAGGCCAAAAATTATGCGCTTACGCCCAGTAGGGGTGTGGCAAACTCCATTTTCTACAGTATTAGAGCTAGAAACTCAATGTGAGAGAAATAAGCTAATCTTAGCCTTTGCTCTGATTGCAAGACCTGAGCTTCAGTCTAATACGAAATGCCTCATTTAACCGGCTTTCCCTCACATATAGCATCCATACACAGAACGATTTTCTTGATACCCTAGCCCGTTGAAAAGGCCGTATTATAGTATTATAGTATTAATTAGCAGTGTCAGTCCGTGTGTGTGAGCAACTCCATCTCACATGCTATAAGAGTTAGGTTTTACCACTAACCAGAGAGCACTGTGGTTAGTGGTTTTAAGTCCGTATATGTATACCACGCGCAGATCAAGTTTGTTTCAAAAACTCGATAAAAAGTCCGTTCTTTGTTATCGATTAAAAGCCATATAGAACATCAGTTATAAAATAGTATATCCTACATTTTTAGAGACTGAGACTTAAACTTAAATGTAAGTTAGCTATTTATAAGTTTTGCTCTCAATCTACATGTATATTGGGTTTGCTTAAAGTTACCAATAACTTTACTCGCATCGATGGAGCACTAGTCTCTAGCACTAGCGACCAATAACAAATTAGACGTTTCCATTATTTTCTAACAAGCAACGCTTGAAAGGCAAAATCAATCTATCGAATTCGGTCGATAATACAGAAATGGTAAGAGCTATCGAAAAAAAGATAAGCTCTCTCTTAGCAATGGTATGTATAAAAATATGATAAATTTGTTTCAAATTTCAAGTCGAGTTTTTGGGGTACAAAATCAAAATATATATACATATATTTATTTATTTATCGGGTCTATATCATGGAAAGCTTTAGAAACATACATTTAAAAAACCGATTATCAGATTACAATATTGATCATAAATATTATGGAATACCCTAAATAATAAATATGTATATTCGAAAATATATTTTCATTATTATTACTGATATTATTTTTTTTTTTTTTTTACATTTATTTAGATAGAGTTGGATACGATGAAACTAAAATATATTTTAAAACAAACACTAAGATCCCTGGTTGTATGTATTATTTTAGGCAGTTTGTACTCTACGTTCCCATATTAGGCGAGTCGACGGCGAGTGACAATATTTACATTTGTAAATTGTAACTAAATATAATATTCAGAATTAAAGTCTAAGAAATAAACCTAATGTACAGTTAGGAAATATGTTTACTCGATTATAAAAATGAATATATTATGTTGCATAGTGATATTAATGGTGACTTTTGACAAAAGTGTCACATGTTTCGGGCAGTTAGCGAGACATAATATATCTCTAAATAACACACAGAGAACCAGTAAATTTCTCTTTGATACTATCTTTCGCATTAGCTCCGGGGTCTCGAGCGCTTTTGGCCTGGCGGACACAGAAGACGATGGAGAATATAGTGAGAACAATAGTCTCTCAACGTGTGACTGTGGTAAGATATTCATAATCAACTTATTTGTTTCTTGTTCCCATCAATGTACCGTATAGCTGTGTAAATATGTGCATATGTATGTATATGTGTATATAGTAGCTATGGGAAAAGTAAGCGTGTGCCAATTCTTTTTGGCAATATTTTCGATAATTAACTACGAATTTATATTGGGTGTTAATAACTGGACACTTCGGACTAGAGCTTTCTCACAGTTTCCGCTGTTTTAATCAAATACAATAAGAAAGTGATATTCAATCAGATTTATCATTAGCTAAGCCTACATTAATTAACATTTATTAATTCTTTTACAATATATTTATTATTTCTTAGTGAACAATTATTAATTTATTATTTGATTGGATATATTTTCGATATATATTATATTATACAAATAATAAATTAATGATCAAATAATAAATTAGATTGTTTACTGAGAAATAATAGATGTAGAAATAAATATATATTTATATATATATAATATAAATGAATCTTAAAGTATTATTTTTTAGTATATATTTGAAGTACCTGGTTTTATGCCGGTAATCAGGAAATACCGATCGACTCTTTTTTGCCTCTTACGACCTGTTTTAAGCAATAGGCTTGGGCCTCAATCTAAAATTAGACAGAAAGCGGGTATATATGCATGTGTATGCGTCTCTTTTTTATTGGAGAGATTTATTTCGGGTAAAGTGTCACAGTCCGTAGTACTTACTGTGACGCCAAGTTTCAACAGAAACGAGAGTTATTAAAGTAAAGCTATAATAAAAGTTAAATGGTAATTAGTTCGAGCTAGTGAGGAAGATATTAGGAAAATAAAAATGTATGGTTAAGAGTTGAAATTTTGTATATACATGTCTTAAACATGTTTTATAAGTGTGCATGTTTATGAACAATATTATGGAATTTGAGATAATAGCTCTATGTAGGATTCATGGTAAATAATAAAACTTCACCTTCCTCAATCATACTTTTCCTCCTCATTACAAAGTATTTTTCCAAATATTTTATTTTTTTCTAATCCGTTTCTGGTCGCATTTTATTTTTTATAGATTGCGGGTTTTCGAATGAAGAAAATAGAATTGTCGGTGGAAAGCCAACTGGCATAAACCAATACCCATGGATGGCACGCATTATTTACGATGGGAAATTCCACTGCGGAGGATCTTTGCTAACTAAAGATTATGTTATTTCAGCGGCTCACTGTATAAAAAAGTTGAGACGATCTAAAATTCGAATAATATTTGGTGATCACGACCAACAGATAACTTCGGAGTCTCAGGCAATCCAAAGAGCCGTTACGGCTGTCATAAAGCACAAAAACTTTGACCCAGATACCTATAACAACGATATTGCATTGCTTAGACTACGGAAACCGATATTATTTTCCAAAATAATCAAGCCAGTTTGTCTACCCCGATATAACTATGACCCCGCAGGTAATTATCTTCCATCTTTCATAAAGAAGATCCATTCATTTATTTTTTTCCCCATTTAATCAGCTTTAAAAATTATACTTTCATCAATTGTTTTTCAGGCCGCATAGGAACTGTCGTTGGCTGGGGTCGTACTGCTGAAGGAGGAGAGCTGCCCTCGATTGTTAACCAAGTTAAAGTTCCAATAATGTCGCTTGCGGAATGCCGAACTCAAAAATATAAGAGCACACGAATAACGTCAACGATGTTGTGTGCGGGAAGGCCTCAGATGGATTCATGTCAAGGCGATAGTGGAGGACCGCTATTATTATCCAATGGGGTTAAATATTTTATAGTGGGTATCGTATCGTGGGGCGTTGGCTGCGGACGCGAAGGATACCCTGGGGTCTATACTCGTATAAGTAAATTTATTCCTTGGATAAAAGCCAATTTAGAAAATACTTGCTTGTGTTCATAGTAAAATGTTTAATTATTTATTATTAAATTGTTTAACAAATTATTTATTGAAACTAAAGTGTTGATTGATGTGTTTACGTAGGAATGGGAATTCTCAAAGGCAAGAGTCCTCGATAAGTTTTGGTGATGCTAACTTTAAGGACAAAGGGATTCATATAGATATTCTTCGATCGATATAGTTAATTTCATACATACGGGCGGACTGACAGCCAGAGGTAAGCCCATTTGTCAGGCAAAAAAATTATATTCCTTATGAAGTCGTTTCACCTCTTCTTCGGGATGTAAATATAATGTATAGAGCTAAATCTATTCAGGGCATAGCAAAATTATTTTAAATCTTATTTAGGTTTTATTGTTCATACAAATTAAGTTATTCTTAAATAAGGAAGAACATCATTTATTGATATTGTTTATTGTTAGATGTACCAAACCCGAAATTATTTACAGAATCACCCAAAACAGCTGGGTCTTCGGTTGGCGGGGATGGATTTTTAAATTGTTCAGCTGATATTCTTGTAAATAGTATGCCAACACCTTCGATGAGAGCTAACAACACTCCTCCTATGATTGCACTTCCAGCCATTGCAGGAATACCTGAAAATATAATTAAAAGGGACACATGAGTTTAATCATATTTTCATAAAATTAATTCTTTAATCAGAGGTCATTTGACATTATTATCACATTGTAAACCGAAGCTTTGAATGTTTGCCATTAAATAAAACAACTTTTAATTCAGTAATTTGCAGTCTGACAAGACTAAGCTAACCCGTTTTGTTGGATATTACTTATGAAAGCCCTCCTGTTCTCGATACGCTTTTTTTTTTAATTTTTAAATAGCTTACCGTTTCGCGCCGCTAAAATTCCTCCCGTTGCAGCTCCACTTATAATTGAATTCCATGGATCTTCCTTTTTTCGAAAATGAACCAATGTGCAGTCGATTGTACTGAACATTCCTCCCCAAACAGCAAAATTTCCAGCTATTACGGGTGAGCGCAATTTTATTGCAGCTATACTTCCGATCTAAAAATTAAGTCGAATTTTTTATTAGTATTCCAAAATATAAATAATAAACACTAATGAACGGAATCTTTAATGTGAATGATTTTTTACTATTATCTACTAACTATATCTTTTATCGAATGGTTTTATGACTCAATTATACTACATAATCTATACAATTTGATCCCATGACCCATGTAGATACAAATACAATATACAAAAATATGTATAATTTACACTCTATAATCTATGTACACTATATGATCTATATTCTTATAGGATAGGAAGCTAGAAACAAAAGCTAAAAATTATTAAATCGGGATTAAGCACATAGGAACGCAAGCCAACGCTGGCTGATGAAATAAATTTAGTGATCTTTTCGTGATATATTCAAATTATTATAAATTGTTTGTAGGGAAAGTCTTCAAATGGTCGATAGGTCCTTCAAATAGAGTATTTAAGTTTTGAACCATAAACTAAATCCCATTATTGGCATGGAAATGATACTTAAATACCACGAACTTTGTGAAGCCACAAAATTCCCAAATATCCAAAAAATAAACCGTAAATTTATAATTCATAAATTATACGTGTATCCATTGATATAACGCCTTCTAATATATATACATATATATTATATATTTATGAACATGCATACCATTCGTCTGTTTATTCCAGATGGAGCGTTTCTAAAACCTTTAATTGCTTGGAAAACACCACCTCCTATGCAGCCCATGGCAAAAGCACCACCACAATCATCAACAATCCGATATGGACATGGTTCACGTGCATATTCCTCCATAATTATATCAATCGCCTACAAATACACAAAAACAACTTATATATAAGCAAATAAGAATATTTCAGACTATGCACATGTTATTTAACACACCGCAACAACACCAAGTTCATATAACAATTTGCTAGAGATGTTCGATATCTAGGTACATCACTATATCGATATGTATCATACATTTATAAAATATCGAATTAATAAGAATTGATCGATGCTATCGAACTTTGTATCCATCTACACTAACAATATTTGCTTGGAACATACTATGTACAAATATATTCTCATAGGACTGTGGAACTAGCATATTGCAGAGAAGGGGTATTAGGCACAAATACAAGCATAAACATTATTAATTTGGGATATAATAAGAAAGCTCTCATTTTATCATATAGCATTTTAGGTGGTTCGAGGTTCTTTTGTCTGTGATTAACAAATCGAATTTAAAAATAAAAATGTTGAGATATAAAGAAAAACTAGACTTCTAAATGAATTTTTACGTTACATACATTTTAAGGAATCAATATACCCGTTTGGTTACATTGGGCCACTAACTATATGATTAGTGATTGGGCTCAGGGTATAAAAAGCTGCTTTAATTGTTAGTATTTTCAAAAAATGTGCTATTTAGTATTTTTAAAATACGGTTACTTTGCCACAAGCCACGTGTTGCATCGATTTACATCGAACTCAGTTTGAACACAGATGTGCGTGGATGCAGATTGATAAAAATCCAAATTTAATTAGCACTAACATTGTTCAATCGCGAAATTCAAAAATGGATTTAATCTCAAAAGGCTGGTTCAGTGAAGTCCAAGACGAGTTATGGCCTGGACAATCATTTTCTTTAAAAGTTAAAGAAGTTCTTCATAAAGAGAAGTCCGAATTTCAAGATATTCAAGTAGTTGAGACGTGAGTAAAATATTGATAATGGGATTTTATATGACTATCAAAAGTAAAAAGTATTCAATATTTAATAGAGTTTCATTCAAGATAACTTCTACTTCATGTAAATGTTTACTCTATCCATAGTGGACTAATGTGGATTACCGTTTGTTATAAGTTGAGCTTGAGTTACATTCAGAGGGAATTTTGTTATGTCAAAAATATCCCAAGCATACAGGAATGAATATGTCCATATTTAAATGGTTAAGAAAATATAAAGAGTTAAGCTCTGTTTAAAGATCAACTTAACACTCAGATAATCATCATTTGTAATCATGTATGTATGTAAGACAAATGTGAAAATTATCATCTCTGGCATAGCTTTAAATTAAGAATTTTTAGATACTACAATCTTTACAATTTTTTGTTATATTTTCGTATTTCATTTCCCATCAAAATCATTATGTACGTATGTATGTATTGTACATACATATGTATGTACGTAATCAACATCTGAAGACACGTCTTAGCAACAGAATTTTCATAGCTTGTTATCTCATTATTTAAAATCCATTAAACCATTTTAGTTGACCCTTCCGATTTTAATCATCAATCTTTATTCGTCTTGCCCAATAAGAATAATTTTTGTTCTATCAAAGAAAAATAGAGAGACAGAAATAATATATTTATATATTGTACATTATACATTATTTTATTTTATTATGTGGGACACTTTTTTAAAATAAAATGTAGTTATGCAAAAGTGTTTTTTACATTATTTGATTAAAAGTACAGTCCCCAATTGCTTTTCTTATAAACAGAAGCATATACTTATATTCTGAAAAAAAACTTATTAATAATTTAAAATATATTTTAATTATATTTAAGTTAAATGTTTTTATATTTCTTTATTCACAGTGAGACATATGGAAGATGCCTGATACTGGATGGAATCATTCAGTGCACTACCAGAGACGAGTTCTCCTACCAGGAAATGATATCCTTCTTGCCACTTTGCTGTCATTCGAACCCACAAAAGGTTTTGATTGTTGGAGGCGGTGATGGGGGCGTAGCACGCGAAGTGGTAAAGCATCCACTAGTTAAGGAGGTCCACCAAGTGGAAATTGACGACCGTGTTGTCCAGGTTTCTAAGAAGTACTTGCCTTCTATGGCATGTGGATTTGACAGTGAGAAGCTAGTTTTAACTATTGGCGATGGATTTGAGTATATGAAAAATCATAAAAATGAATTTGATGTAATCATAACTGACAGCTCGGACCCAGTTGGACCTGCCGTAAGCTTGTTCCATGAAAGCTATTTCGGATTGTTGAAACAAGCCCTGAAAGAAGGCGGCGTTGTATGCTCTCAAGCGGGCAGCTTTTGGCTAGACTTCGACTATGTCAAGAAAACAATGAAGGGCTGTGCTCTGCACTTTCCAAAAGTGGGCTATGCTGTCACTTCAGTCCCATCTTACCCATGTGGCCATATTGGCTTTATTATAGGCTCCCTGGATGCAAGCCGAAAGCTCGAAAAACCAGCAAAGAGATTTGAGAAATCTGAAAGTGACGCTCTCAATTTGAAGTACTATTCAAGTGATGTCCATGAGGCTGCCTTTACATTGCCTCGATGGGTTGAGAAACACTTTTACGAGTGAATGCTTTTCGAGTGTATGTTGCATAGACCAAATTTGATGAATTAATCACATTCCAATAAATATAAGTTTTAACCAATAATTTGACTGGATATTGATTAACACCACTTTTTCGGATCATTTATATTAAAGAAATGCAACGCCGCAATTGTGATACACCAAGACGAAGAAAATAGCTTCCGAAACCCTACGATATTTATCGTGCTCTTCTTTAAATTTATAAATTGTTAAAAAAATATTTTTATTACACTAAAATAAAAAACTTTACAATTCATGTACAAATTTTATAAATAACAATAAAAATTACCGTTTGGATGACACGTCAGACTTAATCAGCGCTATCACTAAGTAATTAAGCAAAGAGAACCGAATACGAATATAAGTATATACGCCTCGAGAGCCATGCTATGCTTGCTTTCACGCTCTGGACGACAACAATTCATTACAATTTACTGCATTGTATGTGATCAAGGCGATCGGTCGATTTACTTATTTGCTGCCAAGCCAGAAGACATCAAGTAGCATCTTTCGGTAGACAATGACTTTCTTCAACAATGATCTCAAATGGGATGGGTTTCTTAAATATTTCACGAATTGTATTGTACTTTCAACGTAGCAGCTGCTGTTATAGGCAATCCAATGGTAAGAGACTCTAAACTTGTTAACAAAGAAAAATATATTGTTTAAAGTTTAAAACGGGGAACAGAAACTTTACCAATCTATGTAAATAATACCAAAGTCCATATCATTTAAGAAAACGCCAACTTTCGATGATTGTTCTAAAACATCTTTTAGAGTCAATCACATAGCCTAATGAAAATTAATACATACAAAATTGTTGAAATTTTGATTTTATTTAATTGTTGATTTGTTTCAAAATGTGATTTTATTTTTAACTTGTAAAATGTGTTCGTTAATTTTTTTAGTGTAATCGTTTATTACAAATATAGAAATAGCTTTTATTCGGATGATTCATCGTCAAGTCCAGAATATTTGTTGGAAGACTGCAAAATCTGAAAGTGTATTAAAAATTACAATATTATCATATTTAATATCAAGTAATGCATAACAAGGTTAATTCTATATATAGAGGATTGACTTGCCGACCTATTGGTGCTCAACTAGAATGGCTCAGAAACTGAAATTTTGATAACAGCTGTCTTCGATGAAGAACTAATACATAGTTATTTAATTGCACATTAATAATAATAATAATAAACATGGATTCATATATTTTAGGAAAATAAACAGCTTATATGATAATAATCACATCACATTGATAAACTAAGAAGATAGATTTAGTCGAGACTGCTCGATATTTTAAAAATTATTCATTGTCGATTCGACACGTTCAAACATAGGGACAGGCGGACGGACAGACAAACGTACAGGGCTAAATCGACTCAGCTCGTCGCCCTGATCAAGAATATACATATTTTGTGGGGTGCGATGATTCCTTCTGCCTGTTACATACCTTTCACAAAACCATTTCTTCCCTGATTTCCCCATTTTCAATGGGTTCAGGGTATAAATATGTGATATTTTCAAATATAGAACTAAATTCTTAAAGTTGATTTAAGTTTCTCGATGAAAATGAATACATTTTTGGACCATCTAAATAAAATGTTTTTGATATATATTTTTATGAAATTCATACTTACAGGTTCACCCTGCTGTGGTGTATTCCTGGCCTGAACACGAGGTTCTCGCTTATTTTTGTTTTCCTCCTTGATTCTTCCTTCGTGGTTCTGATTATTTTTTGCCTTCGTATTCTCAGATCTTAAAATCAAGCATATTTCAAAATTAGTGTTGTTTATTTATAATTATTAAATCAGCTATACTAAGCATAGGTCAACAACACGTTTATTTACAAATATAGAAGAAAAGATAGCGTATAACTTAAAACGTAAAAAGTAAATTAAAGAAACGAGTTTAATTCTTTTTCTGTGATTTTCCATTTATATATATTCTTTTAAAAAATCAATAGTGCTCTAGGCGGGAGTGGTCAACTAAGAGAATGGCTTTTGGTAGAATGGGGGTGGTAGCAATATTGTCCTATGAATAATTAATATGGGCACATTAATTATTACTTCTAAAAAATTACATACGAGCTTGATTCAAATGTGTAAAGTATTGTAGGATTTATAGCTGACATAATTAAAAGAAAACAAGTAAGACTCTAGACGAGACTGCTCGACTAGGAGATATCTTCAACCCTGCAATCTGATATTCTAATCACTTTTCACTTCTTTTAGACACACATACACACGCACGTATTAGAACGCGCTCTGCTAACTGCGCGTAGAAAATATGATTAAATAACTAGCCTTCGATAAAGTTTTTAATCCATAATAAAACATCGGGAAAAGTTATCGATTTTTAGAGAAAAACTCGATATGTGCGTGATATATACGGACCTAGGAAAAAAATGTCAATTTCTCTAGGTCCTATATCTTCAGAGATATACGCGTTCATACATACGCACGGACGGACATGGCTATATCGACTCAGCTCGTCGCCCTGATCAAGAATATATATACTTTGTGTCTGGGTCTGTCACGCCTTCTTCTGCCTACTTTTAACAAAACCATTATACACATTTTCAATGGGAAATCAGGGTATAAAAACAAGTTTTGCACTGACGGAACTTAATTTGTTGCAGAGAGCAAGTTTTAGTCTTGAAATTTACTATTTTACCTAATATTAAAAGAAATGTGAATGTATTTGTATATATGTATATACGTAACTGTTAGTAAACTGTGTCAACGGAATTTTTTTACTTGCTTATGTAATATTTAGTTTAATTTACAAATCTACAAAATTTTACCTCTCATTTCGGTCCCGCTGTTTATTGAATTTGTTGTAATCTGGATCATCGCGTCGTCGTTCACCTTTAATAGTAAATGATTATATACGATTTATTATCAAGGATTTACAGACAGATTCTTCCACTGACAACTAACCTTGACTAGCTTTGGTATCATCACTAACTTCCTGGGTGCGGCGCCAGCTTATAGTTCCAGCATTAGCATTTTCACTATCGTTCTTATCAAGTTGGACTTCCGACAACTTTTCACTTATAACTCCTTCGTCATGGCGCACCTTCTCTTGTCGTCGAGCTTCTGCTAAACGCTCTTCAATTTCTAGTTCTCTTGTAGCGGTATCTACCGGTTTGGCCGAACCAAACACATTCACCGAAGGTGTTCCACTTGGTTTGTTATTGACTTTTGTATCAATTTCGTTGACTGGCTCATCATCTGGTTTAGTTACTATCTCTGGCATTGGTAGTGTTCGAGGCTTTAAATTTAGTTTTGGCCTTTCCTCAGAACTGGCAGTATCGTCTCGCACATTCATATCACTCCTAGGGCGATATTTATCGGATGGTTGGTCGCGGTCCCTTCGCGGAGGCGAAAAGTCTGTGGACGGCTGCCGGGAGTTTGTACGCCATGAACCAGGAGTATTATTTTCTTCCCTTTCTGTAATTGGTTTCCGATCACGATTAAAGCTGCGATCGTAATTGCCAGAGTAACCTCCATAGCTGCTTCCATTATTTTGACTATCCCGTCTCCAATTTCCAGAATCACGGTTTTCACTTGAATTTCCAAACCCTTCAAAGCGACGATTGCCTTTCTGGCGATTTTGTTGATCGTTTTCATTAGACAATTCAATTCGAATGCGGCGACCTTTGATTGAGGGATCCGGCAAACTTAGCACGTTTATTAAGTCCTCCCTACTTTCCAATTCAACATAGCCGAATCCTCTTGACCGACCAGTTTCACCGTCTTCCCGTGGCAGCCTTAATGAAGCGAGATTAATGTTCCCAAAAAAATCGTATATGTCGTCCTCACTGGCATCAAATGGTAAATTATTAATATAAGCTATAAAGGGTGGCTTATGGGGGATAGAGTCATCATCAAATATTCTATTTGCTCTAGGCGCGGTTGGTAGCTGATAAACTAAAGGTAAGGTGTGACTTCCATCATCACTTTCATCACCATCCAAATTTCGAACTTTCTTTGAAACTTGTGTTGTTCCTGCGGGTGCATCTCCATTGGAAAGAAACGATTGCAACGAAATAACAGTTCCTTTATTCTTCTTCCCCTTTTTGCCTGAAAATAAAGAAGTGAATAAACATATTTATACATATGTTCTTTAAGATTTCCATCAACTTATTACACTTATACACTGCACTTCCGCGATATTAATACAATAATTCTCTTTTCCTAAAGATACGCGAGTAAATATATATCCCACATACATACATACATAACTACGATGAATAGCGCTTGCAGTATGTACGTTTTTACATATGTATATATGGGACCAACATACACGCATTCATGTGAAATGTACATTACGTGTCAAACGAGCAGCCACGAGGGGAGAAATTTCCATTGAATATGGTTCTTTGTTTTAGCGCACATTTATTAAAATATATTTATTATATCAAATGATTCTAATATAAATTAAATATAAATTTAAATCAAACCTGCAGAAGCCATCTTGATGAAAAATCCAAACAAATTTAAATTTTGAAGAGAAGTTATGTGTAGCTATCTACAGACACATATCAATGCTTAATATAGTTATCGATTTTAGAAAATCGTCTCTCACATGGCAATGAAATCAGATCTAAACTGTTTCCACTGCATGCATTTGTAGTAGATGCTGTAACTCTTTTACACAGCTAACAACCAAATCAGATATAAAATAAAGGATACAAATACCTATCATATTCAATAAAAATGTATATGATAGCGTGGTTAATACATTGAAAGTATGTGTTGGCAAAGTATTGTAAATTACACAATGCAAAAGTTTAATACTGATATCAAAACGCAAAAGTATTTTGGTGAAACTTGTTAACAAAAATATATAATTAACAATTTTTGCATTTTTGTAGTTATGTAAAATCTTAGGCACTATCCATCTCATTATGTTTATTTAAAATATTTAAATATATAGACATGGCTTTTTAAATGTAAGACATATCTCATAATATGACTTAGTAGATCCCAAAATATAGATTTGATCAGTAAAAAAGTCTATTAAAACCTATTAGTTTGTATGTGTAC